TCCCACTTCTGACACCAATTGTGACGCTGACAATTGAGCGGCCCGACCAAGCAAGGAGGCAGAGGCAGAACGTCCAAAATACAACCCAGTGTGGGCATTTATTAAGTCAGGAACACATGACACACAGCCTCAATCCTGCTGGTTCTCCCTGACCACAGCCTGCAGCCACAAGGATCTCACACACACTATCTCCCAAACAGCAAAACCCCAGAGCCTAAATGCCCCAACCCAATCAACCCAACAGGACACAGGTGAGGGGGGAGGAGACACCACAGAGCACCAGGTGCACACAATCAATGGCAACAGACATGGGGAAAGGGGAACACGTTTCAAAATAAAATACAATAAACACTACATCAATAAATAATATAAACTGTATAAACATGTGCACATATGCAAGGCCCGAAGCCATTAGTGACAAAGTTACCTTCGTCACATGGTCTATGCTGGTTTTTTCAGCAGGGCCTACGTAGCGATACCCAGGAAGTAAATGAGAAATCGCCAACGAGGCGTTTTGGGGAGGTCTTTTCTGTGTTAGAGTTTTACTTCCTACAGGGTGTACTTTCAGGATTTTTGACTCTGCAGACCGTTTATATGCATAAAAACCTTCATAACACACAAGGGGACGGGAACCGGAAAAGCATGACATGGGCCCTTTAAGGGAATTTATTATAAGATATTAAAATAGTCTCTATTTAGTTGTTTCACATTCCAAGGGCAGCCATTCAGATCGGTCAGAGGGGCTTGAAACCTTGAATACACAATGACATTTCCTCCACCACTGATCTAATCTGCCAAGAGTTTGGGTGTTCTCTCCTGTGTGGTTAAACTTTTATCAAGCGGTTTATGATTAGCATAAATCATTGGCTTCTGGCTTTCAGCTTTAAACACAACGTGTTCCCCTGTTGAAGCTGTGTTGTTTTATGATCCCCTGTTGTGAACAAAGTCTGTCAGAAAGTTCTACTGACAGAGCTGTGAGATAAAATGCAGTGTTAAGTGGTCAGAGGAATAAGGAAATAAGGTCCCATGGAGGTCCACCGGAAGGGGAGGGACTTCGCCACTCTATGGTTTTTCCTTGTTGTGTAATCAAAGGGTATGTGTTGTCTGTGCTTTGATACCGTCAGATGTGCCGTATTTCATCAGGCCCACAAAGACTGCAGGTTTTCTAAGGTGCCACAGACAGAGGAAAAGTGCTTCATTTGGGTTGTTTTGTCACCTCAGGCCAAATTACATTTTATAGCCACTTATAAGCTCAAACTAGAAGCAAAAATCCTCAGACAGAGCACTTCTGCTTGTAACAGCCAACAATGAAGACAAAAAGTATGTTCTTCCTCTTGTATTACAGCCCCCCAGGTAGCTCTACCAGACTAAAAGACTAAAAAACATATGTTTCCAGATGACCACCATGATTTGCAGTCTGAATTTACATCCTCTGCAGTTTCCCCCTTGCTACAGAAAATAATACAATTTTAAAGAAATAAGATTAAATATCTAGAATATAAAAACACATTTAAAACCCTTGTGTGGTGTTCGGGTCAAATTGACCCGATTTCCATTTTCAATGAATAAAAAAAATTATAAGGATATTTTCGTTTAACCTGAAACTCAATGGCCGGGGCTTATTTATATTGAAGGACATGTGGAATTGTTTTTTTTTTTTTTCCACTTATGAAAAAATGCCCACCCGCATTTATGTCCTTCATAAGAGGTTCGGGTCAATCTGACCCGGATACAATACCAGGACAGACAGACAGAGAAAAACACACAGAAACACACAAACTAAAGACACACACACACACAAACTAAAGACACACACACACACACACACACAAAAAGAAACACACAAACTAAAGACACACAGACATACACACAAACACACACACAAACACACGCACACACAATCGTATGCATAAAGAAGCTGTTTGATCCTGTTTTCCCTTGATCTTTACCCTTTGTAGTGTGTACACAAAACTATCCTAGAACATTATAAACATTTTAGATCTTCCAGAAATGTATAAACATTTTACATTTTCTCGCACTGTCCCCCTCGCACCTGCACGCCGGAGGAGGGACTAAACAGAGACATAACCTCACATTACAGTGTAGTGCAGAACTGCAATTATCTACCAATAAAATGGCCAAAAGATATTCTGCTCAGAGCCTTGGAGCTAATAATGGATGAGAGTGAGTGGAATGCATTAGAAGAACACGGTGAAGTGGGACAGGAAGACATTTCTGAAGATGAGGATAATGTGGAGGTAAACTCCACATTATTTGACAGCAAATTGGAAGATGAACTTGACTCATAGCCAGCTGCTGGAAGACCCCCACAGCCAACCACAAGAAGACCCCCACAGTCAGCTTCTGGAAGACCCCCACAGCCAGCTGTGAGGTCTGTGGACCCTCAAAGGACTCAAAGACACAGACTACGTGCAGCAACTGCAACAAGTACATCTGTGCTATACACACGAAGAAGTTCTGTACATCATGTGTTTCCTAAACGGACCTGCCCATTGACTCACATAATGTTCTGCAGCTTCACTTCATCAATATATTTTCCGGATATACTGTATTTATGAATAGTGACTGTTAATTGTTTTTATTTGCTTTGTGTTTATATCTGTTCTATGTCATTTATATGGATGTTTCATTCCCTCTATATTTCACAGCCAAATACTTTTGGTTGTGGTTCTTGTGTTCCAATTGCTGATAAATTGCTTTATTTCCTTCAGGGCTTTGATTATTATATGACAGATTAAAAATAATAAACATTAATGAAAAAAATGTTCATTTACATTTGTCCTAGAAAAGCATGAGCAAAATGTAAACCTAGTTTTTATTACAGTGTATTTTTTTTAACATACATTTTATTTTTATCACAAAAAACGATGGACACTTCCATTGTTAAATTTGATCTAGCAAAGAGTATTTTCAAAAACTAATCATATATTTAATTTCTATTGTTGGGGAATGAGTTAAAGACAATATATATAAGGAATTGTGCATGTTGAATTTAGTTCTGTATTTTTTTAAAACCCTGAAATATGTCCCGGGTCAATTTGACCCGAACATTACCAAAGGGTGCGAAATGTGAACATAACACAAGGGTTAATGATTTCAGAGAATGTCTGTCTTTCCTATGTAGGATAACCATTCTAGCAGCAAAAGACAGACATTTGAGATGCAGCTTTGTTGCGTGAGATGAACATATTTTTAGCAGTCCTTGCGAGTCAAAAGGAGCAAAACAGGTGAGATCCAGACTGTGAACAGTTTGGTTCAGCTAATCTGCCTCATCTGCTGTGGATAACGTGTGAATAAACTCTGTGAAATATATAAATCAAGCAGCAACATTTAGGAAGCAATTCAAACTGAACCTCATATTTGAAAAGGTTATATATTTTTTTGTAATGACAACTCATAACTATGATGGGATTTGACAGTGATTCAATATGTATGTAGGTCTCCTGGCTACAAAATGTTGTCAGACAGAAGGGTGTCGCCCTGACCATTGTTAGGCAATTATCATATGGATATTAGTGCTTGTAATTAACATGCTGCGCTTCCCCTTCTGTCTGCCCCCCCACCCAATTTAGGACTGTAATGTGGATTGCCTTCCTTCCTGTGTCTCATCTGTATAAATGACATTGCTTTTCTGTGTAACGGGGTCAGATCCTGGTACTATCTATTTGTGCAGGACCTCTGTCCTTTCCAGCTGGAAATATGATTGATTATGTTAAATGCTATAACTCTTTATTAAATAACACAAATTTGGTTTAAGCTTGTATATTTGTTATTTTCTTACCAGACGGTGATTAAGTGTAGAATTTCCACCACAATAACTTCGTAGCATCTCTCCTTTTAATACATGATATACATTTGATTGACCTTTTAGCCAAACACATGCACAACTGAACAAAACGACAGCAGGAATATGAAGAACTTGTACTTTACCCCTTATGTAACAACGCAGACAATACTTATACATCGACTGATTATGACCTCATCACAAACACAATCTCACAAAGGCATCTAGTGAAACATGATTTTGAAAGCTGATTTCACTCAAAGCAAAGAACTGAAATGAGCTTCCAATGCAGATTTAAAAAAGATGGCGGATTAAAGAATACTCAGGTGGTTTGTAGCTGAGACTCTAGAGTAGAAGTAGAGGTCATCATTATTATCACCACAGAGGTCACACTAGTCCGTAAAACATTTCAAAGGACGTTACATGTAACTAATGAGAGAGTCTGTTTATATTTATTTTAATGTGTTGTGTTCAGGTATTGATAGAGAGCTGAAAAAAGCTCTAATCCTTCATGCAGCAACAAAAAAAATGAAATATTGAAACACTGGCTAATCCAATTTGACAGGCAGCACATCTTTGGGACAGCAGTCCATCGTTCAAAGGATTATGTGCTGCGTGAGAGCAGTTTGGCTGGCATTAGACTCTCCCTTTGCTTTAAAGATTAGTTTATAATACTGCTGCAGCTTAGGAATAGAAAGAGATGACTTGATTGTGTGGCGTTCACCAACCAGGAGCTGCAGGATGTTCCCCTCGTGTGTCTCTTTTCACAACACAGACAGGCTTTTAAAAGCTGTCTGGCTCCTAAAACCTATGTGGGACATTCATTTGTTTATTGTTGTTCAGGAGGTCTTGTAAATTACAGTTTTTAGACTCACTACTTCAGAGGTAGATAAAGAGGAAGGAGGCTAAGAGATGTCATAACATGTGAGGTCATAAGGGTGAGAAAACTATGATGACTTGGATTAAGGAGGAAGGGTTCACTGCACCTAATCCTATAAAAAGAGAGAAACGTAAAAACTGATATGGCAGCCTTAAAAAGGACCTAAATTAGGGGCAATCATTTCCCTTTAGAAGGGGGAAGCAGGGTATCCATTTCAGTATCTATGACCAATCTGTTGATGGGGATGAGGGGGCCACTCCCTCAATTAAACAAGCAAGTCCTTGTCAAATGCAGCGGAAAAATCAGAAATGACATAGACAACAAGTGTGCTGTAGAATAAGATGAAGAATATATGTTAAGGAACTGGGGGTGAGAGTGGAGGGAGGATGCTGGGAATTAAGGAAATAGCCATTTTTACCACTCCAATCCCAGTGTCTAAATGTAAAGTACCGACTTTTCACAGTGATTCAAACATTGAGTAATCTTAGCTCTACTATGTTATCATCTTTTCTGATTTTCTCATTTTTAGCTCAACACCAGCGCTTTTTGGATGTGTTTAGACATGTTTTTGTAAGTCCCTTAGTTCCAGCATGAAACAGCTGTGAGTGGTGAAGACTCGGCACTAACTGTGCTGGCTGGTGTTTCTGTGTTTCAGGTGATGGACTTCCCAAAGAAAGCAGTCCTTTCATCAACAGCAGCGCAGCCGGCAGTGTGGATAAGAGCCAGCAGTATGACGGCAAGACTATGGCTCTGTTCGAGGTGGGAATAGTTTTCACAACTAAATTCAAAACATATTTTCACATTGTCATGTCTAATATGACCGTGTGTGTGTGTGTGTATGTGTGGCCTAGCATTACTATACTTGTGGGGACCTAAATCTGTTTACATAGTCACGTGTGGGGACTCGCCTCCCTTATGGGGACAAATTGGAGGTCCCCATGAGGGGAATCATTAATTTTAGGGTGAAGACTTGGTTAGGTTTAGGATTAGGGTAAGGTTAAGGGTTAGGCATGTGTTGGTTATGGTTAAGGTTAGGATAAGTCTCCAGGAAATGCATGTAAGTCAATGTAATGTCCCCTGAAGTGATGTATACATGGTGTGTGTGTTTGTGTGTGTGGTGTGTGTGGTGTGTGTGTGTGTGTGTGTGTGTGTGTGTGTGTGTGTGTGTGTGTGTGTGTGTGTGTGTGTGTGTGTGTGTGTGTGTGTGTGTGTGTGTGCGTGCGTGTGTTGCAGGAGGAAATGGATACCAGTCCAATGGTCTCCTCTCTGCTCAGCAGTCTTGCCAACTACTCAAACCTGCCAACGGGCAGCAAAGAGCACGAAGAGGCCGAGAATAACGAGGAGGGGGCTCGTCCGTCTAAAAAACCTGTCAAGGTAGATATATCAATCCCATTTCAAAGGGAATCATGTTTGTTTGTCAGTGCTTTAGGAGACTGGGCTGACATTTCAATTTAAGAGAATAATCAAATAGACTTCAATATTCCCACAGTTATTGTAAAAATGTTTTGTTTTTTTAAGTGAGTCCATAGTAAAGTGATCTTTATAATGATCCTGGACAAAGTTAGCCCGATTTCTAACTCAATCAAAGAAGGGCAACTGTATCTGTTGTAGGACAGTATGGTTTGTTCGGCAGGGAATACAAACAATAACATGAAATTATAAATCTTGACTTGAAAGGCATATTCAGGTGTGTGACATTTTGTAGTCTTTTAAAAGTACTTTGTTGTTTAAATAGACAGGGACACAAACGTATAGGTGCATACGTATTCATCATAGTGTATTAAAACATGAATTATATTTGCATAAACTAATTGTAATGTAAATGATAAATAGACAGGAAGGGATGTGTCTTCCTCCTTTCCAACAGATTAGTCTCTCTTTGTGTTTGAGAAGAATAAATCCCTTTCTTTACTTTTAAAGAGTGCACTTTTGCTTTTGCACTTTTGCACTCGTTTGAGAAATTAAGTCTTCAAGGAAAGACGGACAAAGGTGCTTGGTTCAGCACATTATGAAGAGGCTCCTGAGACACCGGAAGAGTCCTGCAGAGCCGGCTGTCAAGAGCAACTCAAGCTCTCACTCAACGGCGTTTCCCCTGTGGACAAAAAAACAAGCAGTGCCTTTGATCTGTCCGCTCATCCCTCAGCTCCTTATCATCACATGCATAGAGCTCTTTGCAGAATTTGAAACACTCAAAAACACTTCAGATGTGGTCTATTCTGTACACTGTAACTTTATTGGTATATCGTTAACAATTGTTTGCTCGGATACAGTAGTTGAGACATTTATCATTTAAGGGTAAAAGAGATAGTATAGTAATATAACACAACATGCGGGCAGCTGCTTTTGTTAACAGTTGGCCCAATGGACCAACCTTAAGAATGTGAGAATTGTGACTCTCATGTGTGTAGATTTTTAGTTCACTAAATGGAAGGAAGAAAATGAACATGTATCTTTAAACTGCTCTGTAGAGATGTTTCTTTAAGGATATTACTTGTCCTCCTCTTCTTCTTTTCACCAGATGTTCATCTTTCTGTGTTTGAGAAGAATAAACCTCATATATATTAAAAGATTGCAACAACAATCATGATATTAAGGAACACTACAGTTAAGGAGACTGGACACAAAAGTGCATTTACTCTCAAATTAAACCCTCATTTAAATGAATTTTCATGGAAAGTAAGTTGAGCTAGACCAGTGGTTCTCAAAGTGGGGGGCGTGCCAACCCTGGGGGGCGCAGAGGCATGCCAGGGGGGGCGCAAGAGACCAGGAGGAAAAATGGTTATTAAAAAAAAAAAGATTAAAAAAAAAAGAAATCATAAATTGAAAAATTATTTATTCAAAAATAATATGATGCAGTACTATTACGGCTCTGTGTGTGTGGAACGAGCCATTTTGTGTGCGCGAGAGAGAGAGAGCGCACCGGTACCGGAGATCGTAGTTGTTAGCTTCTGGTGCTAGCGAGCTACGCTAACGGATATAAGGAGCTTTTTCAACAACAAAGTGGAGGAGAGTCCTCTCCTGTCACACTGAGAGGCTCAGTGAACTAAAGGACTCTCTGAGGGTTTTAGAGTTAACTTTAGTCTAAGTTATCTCAGTGGGTCTCAAACGTTTTGGTCACCATTAATGTAAACAATTATTTCCGAGGCACACGTTTATATGATCATTATAGTTATAAAAAAATAAGAGAATAAATGAAAAACAGGTATGAAATACTATATGACAGTAAAACAAGAATAACGTTTAAAAGGGTGATTTGTAAAATATCCATAAAGAAAAAGTAAATCTGTTTACAGTTCTGTTTCAAATGGATATTGAGAGATGTATCCATAGATCTCTCCATGTTGCTCTCAAAGTGCAGCAGATTGATGCTTTTAACTTCAATATTTAAAAATAAATCTTCCCGGACGAGCTTGCCCCCGGACCCCGCTATGTGAGGTCCACACACCACCTATAGAAATAGCACTTGACCCCTGCTTACACCTATATGCCGTGAGCTGATTATCGAGCCTTCATTATAACTGTCACACTGTGTGTGTGCGTGGGGATTGTTGCAGTAGAACATTCCACTGTAGCGACCGGTACCTTAATGGGAAACCCTAAATGTTTGAGCACCCTCTATGAAACGTCAAGCTACCCCACAGCACCCCCAAAAGAAATCGCTGGCGCCGCCACTGAGCCTGACTATTTGTGTTGGGGGGGCCCGACTTTTTTTTTTCTCCAAAGGGGGGGGCCTGACAGAAAAAGTTTGAGAACCACTGAGCTAGACTGAAAACAACAACAGAGCAACTTTTTGCTGATCACTTTCACGTTTGTGTTTCTCAGGCTCCACAGCTGGGTACTCTGATAGGTGTGTACTTGCCGTGTATCCAGAACATTTTCGGGGTGATCCTCTTCCTGCGGATGACCTGGATGGTCGGGGTTGGAGGCGTCTTTGGCTCCTTTATAATTGTCTTCATGTGTTGCTCCACAGTAAGTTTTGTAACATGATCTCTTCTCAGAAAACTGTTGTAAAATAAAAATAAATCAGTAGAATAGATCTGTAAACAACATATTATATAAATAGTGGTTCTTAGGCACACACATACACCATTTGGGTAGCATGTGATTACACTTCAGGCTGTTACAATACAAAAAAAGCAGTACAATTCAAAATGGCATTGCACAGATACTGAAGGTGACATCCTGGCATGAGCCGATCTGCCAATAAACCCACTGACACCCCACCAGCATTCCTCTGTTGGATTCTGTTATTCGATGCTACGCCAACAACCAACTAGCCAGGAGCTAACCCAAGGCATGCCATATAGCTGATAAACAAAATCCAGAAATGTAGCTCAAAACACAAAGTAGAAATGTTTGAATAGGCTATATGCAATCTAATATTTAATGATATCTTGTGAGATGTTTACAGGGCAATATTTGGAGGGTTCTGGTGTAGCGAGAGGAAAGACTTCCTTTTTTGGTGCATGGAGTTGGAGTTCAGGGTCAGGGACAACATCTACATTTGGATTGCTTCAAAATTAGCTAAGCTAATAAAAGCTGAATTGTGTCAGACAATAACCAATGGTTTACAGATTGCATTTATTTCAATGCGTTTAAGCATCTTTTGCAATTCAAACGGTTTACCTGAAATCAACCAAAGCCTTTTCAAATGTTGTTGGTCAATAATACTCTTCATCAATATACCTTACAATGTAGTTCTCCCTTTGATGAACAATTCAACACAACCTGATAACTCTTGTGCTGTTGGTTGTTTGATCAAGGCCTTGTTGCCACATTAAAACTGAGGTGCCCACCTCTCAGTCCCCTAACCCTCCTCTGTTGTGTTCTGCTTCATCCAGACAATGCTCACAGCCATCTCCATGAGTGCCATCGCAACAAATGGAGTCGTACCAGGTGAGTGGATATCTAAGAGTATTATTTGTGTGTGACAGATCAGTGCTCTGACCCTTCTGTGTTCTGTGACTCGCAGCTGGAGGTTCGTATTACATGATCTCTCGCTCTTTGGGGCCAGAGTTTGGTGGAGCTGTCGGGATCTGCTTCTACTTAGGCACCACTTTTGCAGGTGCCATGTACATTCTTGGCTGTATTGAAATTCTACTGGTAAGTGGCTTTAATTATCAAATAATAAAATGCTTATTGTTTTCCATATTGTTTTTAAAGGCTTTTTCCAGGAAAGTATTTTTTGCATCAAGCATTTTGGCATGTCATGAAAGGAAAAGCACAGACTTATCACTTATTAGTCCTGTTATTGTGTCTGCAGATGGCTCACTGGTATGACTTCAGTGATACTTCATTAAATGACTCGATAATCATATATTACAAGCAACACTGGAATGGTTAGAAAGAAAGTTTGATTTGTTCATTATCATAACACAGCGAACATGTCGTAATGAAAACAATCTGCTTATTATTATTATCAGTCAATTTATCATTCTGTTTAAAAAAGATCAGAAAATGTCTTTTATAAAACGCAACTTAATATATTTCCAATTAGTTGGTCCTTCTTACTAACTGTTCAAACCCCCCAAATATTGAATTCATTATATGAGAAACAAAATAACTAACAGTCATATTTGTGAAGATGGGACCAGGTAAATCTTTACATTTAAAAAAGAAAAACAATTATATCAATATCAAAGTATTTGCCAGTTAATATTCTGTCGATTGACTAATCAAATATGTCCACTCTATTATAATAAGCAAACTTTCTGATTTGATAACATATATATTGTAATTAAAATGCGGCTTACAAGGTTGTTTAGTTGTATTTCTCATTGTAAAAGCTTTGAATTGATGAGTAGATCCAATGTAAAGCACTCCAATTTAGGCAGCATTCTATCATAGATGTACCTTGGTTAATTATCGACCCTCTGCCTCTGCTTTTCTCCCTCCATATTTCCATTCTTTCAGATTTACATCCTTCCTCAGGCAGCCATCTTTAAGATTGAGGGCCTGGAGGGGCCTGAGGCCGAGGAGGCTCTCCTCAACAACATGCGGGTGTACGGCACCATCGTGCTGAGCTTAATGTCACTGTTAGTGTTTGTGGGGGTCAAATATGTGAACAAGCTGGCCCTCGTCTTCCTGGCTTGTGTCATCCTCTCCATCGTGGCTGTTTATGCCGGAGTCATCAAGACAGCTATTGACCCCCCCGTCTTCCCGTAAGTCACTTGTTTGTTCACTGGTCTAAGTCCATGCCGCTGATCTGAGTTTATGACAATGACGTGCCGACTTACTTTACAGCGTCTGCCTCCTGGGAAATCGAACTCTCATGTCTAAAGGATATGACATCTGTGCGAAAGTCATGGATATAGACAATGAAACTGTCACCACCAAACTGTGGAGGACCTTCTGTGATTCTGACAGCCTCAATGCCACTTGTGACGAATACTTTAACAACAACAACGTGACAGAGATACAGGGCATCCCAGGGGTCACCAGTGGCATCCTGGCAGGTAAGAGATGAGCTTTGTGAAGTGCTGTCATCTATTTAATACTATTTTTGTTTCTCCTTGCCCTATTTGTATAGTTTTATGTCTTATAAATATTCATGTTGAATTGTTGGAGGCCTGGTACTTAAGATTGTTATTGCCAAAACGACACTGTAGCTTTTGTGCGTGTGACAATAAAGCCTTTTAATCTTGGATCTTTGAACCTTGAGATGTTCAATCACACCCTCTCTCAATCGTCAGAATGAGGATAAATCCACCTCACTTTCTCATTTAAATGCTCCTCTGTCTTTAAGAAAACCTGTTTGGTAACTACCTGGAAAAAGGGATGTTCCTGGAGAAGCGAGGGATTGCATCAGAAGCCAATCCAGACAGTCCTCCACCCGGCTCCAACCGTTACGTCCTGGCTGACATTACCAGCTTCTTCACCCTGCTGGTCGGGATATACTTCCCATCTGTCACAGGTTAGCAGCAGACAGGCCCAAAAGAGGAGGGACTCTCATTACATGTCACTTGTTAGATGCTTTTATCCAAAGCGACTTAGATACTCAATACTGTGGGCAATCCCCACAGGAGCAATTTGGGGTGAAGTGTCTTGCCCAGGGACACAACGACATGCTGACTGCAGTGGGGTTTGAACCTGTGCTCCCCTAATCCAAACACCAACGCACTAACCCACTGCGCCACAGCCTCCCTATCTCTCCGTATCAAATCTACCTTTAAAGCTGCTCTTGTCAATATTTGTATATAATAATGGGCTAAAATGTAACATGATAGAAGAAAGAATTACCAATGTCTCTGCAGTTCAACTTGTGGTTTTGTTTTTGGCAGCCTGAAACTTTTTTGTTTTGGATCCAATTTAATCTGTAATGTTTCAAGAAGTGACAGGGAGGTTTGTTCAAGAAACCTCTAAAAAGAACTCTAAAAACGAATTGTATGCTACCTGCACAGCATCCTACAGCAGGCAGACAATGTAAGCAAATTGCTGACCGACGTAGTCGAGCATATTGCATCCTAAAATACATATATCAGTGGACAGACAAGAGTGACATAAAAAGAAGCTTACCATGCATGCATGCAGGTGCAAAACCTCCTGATTATTTCATTTTGCTCCACTCACAGGTATCATGGCGGGCTCCAACCGCTCCGGAGACCTGCGTGATGCTCAAAAGTCCATCCCCATTGGCACCATTGCAGCGATCACCACCACCTCTATTGTGTGTATCCTTCACTGAGCAAAAAAATAGAAAAGTGAGGAGCTAATTGATGTGTTCTATTTAACCTTCTGCATGTTATCATAATATTTTGATTGAAAAAGTTTCAAAATACACTTCTTAACAGCTTTTTCTCAGACATGTCCACTGTGATCCTGTTTGGTGCCTGTATAGAAGGAGTAGTCCTAAGGGACAAGTGAGTATAACTATGTTGATTTGTGTAAATGTATAAAATGTTTCACTGTGTATCTTTGGTAGAGAGAGCTGAACCAGTCAACAGTTTAAATTGATGCTGTTTAATATGTTGCTCTGGATGACTCAATGTACTACCTTACTTATTGAACAAAACTGGTTTTGGCTTTAGGAACATCCGGACCTAAAATATATATATTTGTTGGTAATTGTCAGGCACCTTGAATTGCCTTGTGTTGAACGGTGCTATATAAATAAATGTGCCTTGCCTTGCCTTGCCTTGCCTTGGAACATCTGGTAAGAATAGTCCCGGAAAAAGAATATGCATACACTGTTACTCTGACAGGAGGGCAGGGAGGGAGACAGATGTGGACAGCAACAGACTGGAGATCAGGGAGGAAGAGAGAACCAGTAGTGATGAGAGATGGGAGACAGATGTTGTAGGGCGGCTTGTCTTAAGAGAATTATGTAGTGAAATGGAGACTAAAGGAGAGTGTGAGGAGAATAACTAAGGCAGGATGAATGAATGCAGTTATATTCCCTGAACAACATTATGTTACCTCTGAGAATTCAAAGGTACATAATGAAATCAATGCCTCCACCTGAAATAATAAATTAAGGATTGATTGAATGTCAGAGAGGCCTTTAGAGGGTTTTGATGGCCAATCAGTTGGGCATGTGGCTAAGGTATGCTTAATAGGAGTTATGCTTGGTGTGGTGGGGATATGACAAAGAGTGATATGCTGCAGAGGACCAAAGAAAGTATGGAAGGAAAAAACGAAACTGGTATAATTTATAGTGGAGTAATAAAGGCAACATCTGACAGAAAGTCTAACACTGAGAGGATCCAGGTTGTTCTGGTTAAAGCAGCAGTGCAACACTATAAAACTGTTGAAATGGGAGTAGAAAGGGATGAGATCAACGTACAGTCAAGAATCAGCATGTGTTGGGTGATATAAGACGGGGGAAAATACATAATATGATATTACATGTTACAATAATTCTCCTTTACTCCTAGATATCTAACCTTTTTGCCCTTTGACGTTTATGACCAACCCTGACGTCTGTTATCTCCCTTAAGGAACTGGGCTGCGTCAGTCATATGTTGTTGTTCCCAGTTTATGACCGGGCAACTCTCGTCACAAATGGTTTATGGTTGTGAGCAGGGGCGTCGCCTGGAGCTGGAAACATCTGTTCCCAGATGTTTAGGTTATCTCCCCAACTATGTTGATTACTCTCTGTGAATCTGTTAAAACGTCTAGCGAGAGAGAGGCGCTTCAGAATTGACGTGGCAACTCTCCCGTGCAGTCAGATCCGTAACTGCTGTGACTTGTGATGTGAATCCTCCGGCCAATACTCGTAATAAACCATCATTGTTTGACATCAAAGCTCCAACTCTCCTCGTGTCTCTCTGAGTCCTGACTCTCCATTGCTACAGAAGTTTCCCTTACATACCATATAATAATATTCAAGAGTACTGGGTTAACCTAGATTTTGTGTTATATGAGTGACAGTTATGCAAGTAAGAAAAGATGCTGGAGTGTGTCCGGTTTGTAAAACAGGGGACTCACTATATGGTACTAGGTGTAAGGAGTGATTATATGAGGTACTAGAAGTGTGGAATTAGTGGAAGAAGTTTTTCATACTGCACTCAGGATTTTACTGCAAGTTATACACTATGGGGGGTCGAGAGAAAAAATGATGGGATAGATGTCAGCATCAAAAAGGCATCTGTGCTTTATCTCACGCTAGTTTCCAACCATATGGTACCAATGTGTGATCGGAATGTGTATCAACAGGGAACCATAGGGAACTAACATTACCCAGTGTTACTTTCATTTAATAGTAGTAACAGCGTATATTTGTTTTGAATCCCACAAATGCCTGATAAAATACTTATTGACTAATTAAAGACCTTGAGGTTGTCTGGGAGTTCTGAGCGCCCTGCGTAGCCAGGGTTCATTGTAATGGACACAAAGCAGTTGGAGTTGAGTTTGAGCATGGTCCCTTCAAAGTCAAAGTACTCCAGGTCCAGCTCGATAGCCCTCTGGATGCAGAGAACCTGCTGAGCCACCACAGACAGCACCTCCAGCTCGATACGATTGAACTCATCAAAGCATGCCCACGCACCAGATGAAGCCAGACCTTTGAAAAACTGAGAGAAATTGAAAACATTGGTTTAGAAATAACACTTTTACATTATAATGTGGCATTATAAATAGGAATTCAAATACAAAAATGTCATGCTGGTGGTACTTTGCCCATAGCGAGGTAATCAAGTCCATCAGAACAGTTGAAGACCACACACTACACAGCTAAAGCTTTGGCTAGATCTTTGGTGGTTTCCGTCTTTCCTGTTCCAGCAGGACCCTCAGGTGCACCCCCCAAATGCAGGTAGAAAGCACCAATCTAAAACAAAAGGTGAACTTCTTAATTTAATGTTAAAATGTCTGATCACTCAGCCTTATTCGAATATAAGAGTATTCAGGTTTAAGACGGCTATTAGTGGAATATTTTTACCAGTGTCCTGTAGCATCTGTCAGTCAGTGGAGTGATGACGAGACGTGGCGAGTTCCCCAGGTATTCATAGGCGTATTTTACATCACAGTTGATAATGCGAACACGAACATTGTCATTGTTCCAGTAGTAACGAAGCTGGGCTAGCCATTGGAAGTCTGTTTCATTTGATACTCCTGTTAAAAATGGAAACAATTATTTTTACTTGATGCTGTTTCTAAACTAAGGCAATGCTCTTTATAGTGAATAGTGAAGCATTTGGTGCCATGATGTACCTTTCTCAATTAGCTCCAAGACCACATCCCTGGCATGGACATCAATAGTGACCAGTACTGGGTTAACCTAGATTTTGTGTTATATGAGTGACAGTTATGCAAGTAAGAAAAGATGCTGGAGTGTGTCCGGTTTGTAAAACAGGGGACTCACTATATGGTACTAGGTGTAAGGAGTGATTATATGAGGTACTAGAAGTGTGGAATTAGTGGAAGAAGTTTTTCATACTACACTCAGGATTTTACTGCAAGTTATACACTATGGGGGGTCGAGAGAACAAATTATGGGATAGATGTCAGCATCAAAAAGGCATCTGTGCTTTTTCTCACGCTAGTTTCCAACCATATGGTACCAATGTGTGATCGGAATGTGTATCAACAGGGAACCATAGGGAACTAACATTACCCAGTGTTACTGTCAACATTTGTGCATTGTTAACCACAGAAAGGCAGGGAAGGGACATGGATATATGAGAAGGCTGATTGGGAGACCTTTCAGAAAGAAAGTAATAGATACCAGAGTCAGAGTGATTGTAATGTGGACATAGAAACATTTTGAAATAAGATTGAATAAGTTAAGGGGCTAAGGTCAGCTGCATGAGGGTCTTTAAAGACAAAGTAAATAGCAAAGCAGGCTCATGGTGGGATGTGAAATGAAATGCAGCCGTGAGAAATCATTTAAACTAGTCAAAATAACACATAATATCCATCAAAAGATAAAGGACACTATTTTTTAAAACGTATAACCAAATCTCTGTTTAACACAATATTTAAAGTGGTGCTTATGCATAAACCGTAGGTCAGTTCAACAGATATGTCGATTAAATCAGAATCATTTAGATGTCAAAATCGTTTCAGTGTTAGTTGACAGTAGTACAAACAGGCTCAGCAGGAATAGGCCGAGCAACATTTATTAGAGAAAGTGCTGCGACTCAATCAGGAACGACACATGGGAGGATGATTAAAAAGAGAGCTGGGGACAGTAGGGAGTGCAGTCATCCTGTTTTATTGGAAATTATTTTGCACACAAGGAGACGGGTACCGGAAAAGCGGTGGACGCGCCGGCGCGTCCAGGTACGCGCCGGCGCGTCCAGGTACGCATAATTTTACGTAATTAATCATATATTTTTGATTATAAGGAGTAGAAATATGATTCAGATATCCGCGGAATCGCTGGAAGAGTAGCTTTCCAGCGGTATCTCCTGTGAGACTGTAACCAGGGCACAGCAGCCAATATGGCCGCTCAAAGCAGCTCTGAAAGCAGCTTGACTTTACACTGTGTGGGATTGGTGGATTCGTGTGTCCGTCAAGGAAATCTCGGCCGGCAGCCATCATGGTCTGAAATTACCAATGGACATCGAGAAATCACTAAGGACCTACCCACCAAGCAGGGGCGGATCTACCGGGGTGGCATGGGGTGGCAACTGCCACCCTAAACAATAGCCTTGCCACCCCAGCTGCCACCCCAGTTGGCATCTTTGTTTTGAAAGAAAAGTTGTGGCTCATCGGACATTTATGAGAGAAAATCTCTAATGTCCGAGTGCAAGTGAATGCAGCACAAGACGCGAGTCTTGTAACCCCTCCCCCGTCCCTGGCGCGAGAGTGGAAATATGATTGGTGGCGAATTCACTTGAACGGGGGACGGCGCAAAACGAGAAGCCTTTCGGACTCAAGTAGACGGAAGGAATGAGGTAGTTGCGGTCTACAATGACAGAGAAGAGACTGTGAAGTTTGGCTGCACTCAGCATTGAATCAAAACGCACTAAAGCTTTAGATCTTAATAAGTTTGTGAGGCGTTTTGCTGAACAACATGGTAATCGCCGCATTCAGCTGTAATAGGCATGCCAACTTCATGCTCTGCTCACAGATGACTCGATGAGCATAAAAAACTGTTAAGATGATGACATTGTATGCGTGTATATATTTTTTTATTTGTGGAGGTCTGCCCCCAAAAAACTGTTTTAAGTCCTGAGAAAGTAAAATAAGACGGTGTGTAAAACTACACTGCCCAGACAAAAAAAAGTAACCACTTTGATTTAACTAGGCCAGTAGGTAAGAACTTTCCACTGGACAATAACTTACTGCAGCGATGTATATGTTTTAGCTGAATACACGTTTTTTTAACCCCAACTGATGCAGTTAGTCACTTCTTTAATATTTGTTCTTTCTGATGCAAAGTCAAGGTTGTAACTGTATATCAATAATGATATAATTACTTGTTTTTCAAATTTGAAGGAGGGTGAGCAAGCATCTTGATGAACATTCATCATTAACTCCTCCAAAAAATATAGTTTATTCAATAATAAGTGAATATGTGAATCATAACTGTTCTTCACTATATCTGTAAAGCGTCTTTGAGCACCTGTAAAAGCGCTAACAAATTAAATCTATTATTATTATTATTATTATTATTTATTAACAGTGATTGACAGCTGATAGGAATAATATGATTGTTAATAGTATCATATTCATTCAGACAAACATCGATGAGACAGTTAATTAATATACTTATTGCAGCAGTCTTCATATATTTGGTACCCCTGCTGGTCTAAGAGTGAAACCAACTCATTCAGTTAAAATTCATTAAATTACGTCTGCCACCTTATATATGCATATGTAAGGCTTTACTGATGTGCCACAATAATATCACCTATGTCATTGAGTTAAAATATTAATATTGTGCCTTTCCAAGTTAATATTGATTGTAGGGGTGTAACGGTTCACAAACATTTCGGTTCGGTACGTACCTCGGTTTTTAGGTCACGGTTCGGTTCGGTACGTTTTCGGTACAGCAGAAAAAATTATCACAAAACATTAAATATATATTTGTTAATTATTATTAAACTGTGAATAATGTATTCAAATAAATACAAAATATAATAAAATAAACATTAAGGTGCAGCATTTCGATGAACTGAAATAATCTGTATTTGAACTGTACTGTACTAGTACCTAAGCAGCCAGTTTGACATTAGGACTTGCTTGTCATTGTATTTTCATGTTTTTTTAAAGAGAAATGAACTTGTCCACATTGCTTGCCGAAAGGGCAGATCTGCTGGCACTAATAATGTCTCCTGCTGTGGAGAACACCCTCGCTAGGGACAGAGGTAGCAGATACAGCCAGGTAGCGCTTTGCTAACATGGCAACATAAGGATATTTGGCGTTTTTATTAGCTTTGGCTCGGTCTGAACTTTTTGCGAGTGGTGGAGGCTTAAATGCTAGTGGGAGTTGGGTTTGCACTTCAGTCTTTTTTCTTTTGGTACCGGTGATATTCACGTTCGGGTGATGCCTTTTCATATGAGTGCAAGTTTGATGTATTGCCAGCCGCGTAACCAATTTTAGTTGAACAATGCCGACAAACAGCTTTGGTTCGGTCCACCTGTCTTTGTCCGTCATCCTTGTACGTAACTGCGAAACCAAAATGTTCCCAAACCGGAGACTTCAATGATGCTGGAGGATTTTCGAGCTCAACTTTATCTGCGTTCGCCATTTCGACAGTTCCTCAAATTACTGACTACATTTGAACGCATCCCTGTGACCAGCTCTCATAGTATGCCTCTCGTCCAATGAAATGACTTGGTCGCTCTATGATATATACCTGAGATTACTTCCAGAAAGTTGTTCATGTTCTCAATTTTTTACGTTTAACGCTATATTCGTTCGGTACACACGTGTACCAAACCGAAGGGCCCGTACCGAATAATTTCAGTACGGGTACGTGTACCGTTACACCCCTAATTGATTGATATGATTGCAATTTAAATCAGCATATACTTCTGCCAGGGGATGCCACCCCTCAAAATCTCCTGCCACCCTCTTGCCACCCCATGAATATTTGTCTAGATCCGCCCCTGCCACCAAGTAAACAAAACATAAACCACGTGTTTCCCATCAGTTTACGTCTTTGAGGAGAGAGAGAGAGACAGAGAAAATGGCTAAAAAAAACTTTACAGTTGCCGACTTCGCTAGAGATTTATTTCGCTAGCAGCAGTGAAGATAGAGCCTCAGAACCTGAAGTCTTCAACTCTTCTGAAGAAGAAGAATACAAAGACAACAACAAGGATCCATTTTGGCATGGGTAAGTTTAAATATTACAGTAATAGTGTACTGGCAATGTGTGGGGAATACCGCGAAAATGAACAATAGGTTTATTGATATATATTTTTTATCGATAGTCATGAACTTTTTATTGGACAAAATAGACTCTCCATTAGCAAACGTTTACTCTGTGTTAACGTTATTTTGGTGTGTAAAAGTGAGATTACATGTGTAGAGGATTAAATTAATCATTTATTCGTCCCACAACGGAGACATTTACAGTGACATGTTTTTGCCATCGATTATTTTTATCATACTGTTCTGTACAGATGAGACTTTGTCATAGATTTATTTATATGTGTGCCTGTTATTATTTTACCGTCCTGTACAGATGAGACTTTGTAATCAGATGTAGCCTATGTCTATGTGTGTCTGTGATTTTATACTGAATGTAAAGTAACTGGAAATACGTGTGTGTGTGTGTGTGTGTGTGTGTGTGTGTGTGTGTGTGTGTGTGTGTGTGTGTGTGTGTGTGTGTGTGTGTGTGTGTGTGTGTGTGTGTGTGTGTGTGTGTGTGTGTGTGTGTGTGTGTGTGTTAGGGCTGCACGGTATTGAACAAAACTGACATCGCGGTTCCCCCCCCCCCCCCTGCGGTATATATTGCGGTTTTTTAACCTGTTAAACCCCAAAGTCCCGGCGGGTACTTTACTCTTTTTTTTTCACGACAGTGTCTCAGGGGATCGTAATATTTAAGAACCTATTAATGTGTTATACCAGATTAACGGAAATAATCTCAGCTAACTGACGATACAAACCATTTTATACCAAAACAAAACACAAGTCTCATAAGAAGTATCTAAATGACCCCTGAGCGAAAAATGCTAACGCACTTTGGCACAGAACTCAAGATAAAAGGACCCTTATTGTTACTTATCGTAGCTGCACTTACAAGATATCCGGTTAAAGCTGAGGTTCCACAGATTATTTAGGTATATAGTATCATCACTGAGTGATCTGAACTCGGACAGGGGAAGAAAACACAGACATCACAACACGTACCTTTACGTAGCTTCGAGGGGAGATGTCTCACCGTAGCTGTCAATCTGATCAAAAGACGTGTTCAATGGCATTAAAACGAGAAAGAAAAAACGCGGCTGAATCGGTTAATCCATAGGTTTTTAACGTCTCTGTATAAAAAAATGATTTAATTTATATCCATAATTCCATTTTTATGTAAATATCGCAGAGCAAAAGTTAGCTGCTAATGGTAGCCACCAGAGTGGCTGCTGCTTCCGGTCTTGGCAATGCGGAAGTCTCTCACACACACATTACCAAATAAGGACTGTGTGATTTCCCCTCGATTCCATTGGCTCTGACGGTCGGAAAGAGATGTCACATGTCAAAATCCAGCAAGGTGGGCCAGAGATATGGAAAATCCACCCAAATGGCCCCAAAAGAGGGTTTTTTGGTGCTAAATCTGTCTAAAAAGGTCAAATATCAGGGGAAGTTCTACACACACCAACACATGAACAAATAAGGAGTGAGAGTGATGACGCGTAGCCAAAACCTGAAGCTGCATACCACCAAGGTGGCTACCATTAGCAGCTAACTTTTGTGATCCGATTTTTACATAAAAATGGAATTATGGATTATAAACAATTGCTTCAAAGCCACAGATACATTATCAAGCTATGGATCAACCGATTCAGCCGCGTTTTTTCTTTCTCGTTTTAATGCCGTTGAACACGTCTTTTGATCAGATTGACAGCTACGGTGAGACGATCTCCCGTAAAAGCTCCGTAAAAGGTACGTGTTGTGATGTCTGTGTTTGCTTCTCCTGTTGCGAGATCGGATCGCTTAGATACTATACTTAAATAATCTGTGGAGTCTCAGCTTTAATCGGATATATTGTATGTGCAGTTTCGATAAGTAATAAGGGTATCTTTATTTTGAATTCTGTGCTAAAGTGCGTTAGCATTTTTTTTTTTTAAATGAATAAAACCGCACGTCCCTGCGGTGTGAATACCGCGCATGCGCATACCGCGGTTATCGCCATGATACGGTATATCGTTCAGCCCTAGTGTGTGTGTGAGATCGAGAGAGACTCCTTCTCCAACCTCCCAAACTTTCTTTTTATGTGTGCATTGTTATTTGTGCTTGAGCAACATTTTACTTGAACTTTATTTCAATGAAATTAGTTGTAATTATTGTCCTACATTTTAATTTGTATTACAGAGATGTTTCACAGCTGCCTGGGCCTAGTGGCCCACAGGCGGCGTTTATCCAGCAGCCAGAACATCCATCTGTGCCTGCCCCCAGGTCAAGATCTACCGTGGCTCAAGGGCCTTCACCAGAGCCATCACCACCAAGGACCAGCATCACTACAGCTGCCTCCACCTCCATCTGCGGCTGCCACCAGGTCAAGATACACCTCAGCACAAAGGCTCCACCACAGCCATCAACTTCAACCCAGCCAGCAAGGAGGTCTCGTGGAGGTCTCGTATAGCACTTGTACACCCCACCTACACAGCAGCCCATGCACCATCACCCCCACCTACACAGCAGCCAGACCCACTGTCTTGGAAGACAGACAAAGACCTTGACACTGTCTTGACATTTATAATGAATAGTTGGTTGAAAGTTCTGATGTTCAATATTGTAAATAGTTAGATTTTCCAGTTTCTTATATTTATATAAATAGTTGGTTGAAAAAAAACATATTTATAATAAATTGTTGGTTGAAAAAAAAGTTTGAATGCTCAATTTGTATTTGTACACATCACATGAACCTTGGTATGTAATATGAAGTCATTATTCAGTCCTAATGTATCTCAGTCCCTGCTGTGGTGAAAGTAGAGTGATAAAGACCTATTTTACTCAAAATTCGAATTTAATTTTTTTCATTTTAGACATGAATAACACATTTATATACAGTATAATTCAAATATTTCACTGCTTTTGTGATCCTAAGACTTTGGTAACCAAATCTAAAACACCAAAACAATTCGATCACATGAGTAAATTTGTGTTTTCACAAAAGTTTTGAAGATTTTCCGAAAATCGGATGTTAAATTTTAAGCTTTTGAGCTACTTATCTCATCAAAGAGTGCTCTAAGGTGAGCAATTTGCATATATAGCAATACCAGAGATTGTCCTGAGCATTTTGATATGTAACACATGGGGTGCCATGTTAGAAGAAATACATTTAAAAGGTGATTTAAGAAAACATGTAAAAATCGAGAAAATACCCTTAGACTCCAGAGGGTTAAAGTAGTCTATTGAGTTATTTCACATTCCAAGGGCAGCCATGCAGATCGGTCAGAGGGGCTTGAAACCTTGAATACACAATGACCTTTCCTCCACCACTGATCTAATCTGCCAAGAGTTTGGGTCTTCTCTCCTGTGTGGTTAAACTTTTATCAAGCTGTTTATGATTAGCATAGATCATTGGCTTCTGGCTTTCAGCTTTAAACACAACGTGTTCACCTGTTGAAGCTGTGTCCTTTTATGATCCCCTGTTGTGAACAAAGTCTGTCAGAAAGTTCTACTGACAGAGCTGTGAGATCAAATGCAGTGTTAAGGTCAGAGGTTTAGGTGAAATTAAGTAATCTCTCTCTTCTGTACCTTTCACACTCTACCACCAGTTAACCTTTTTAACCAGAGATTTATGGCATCCTGTTCCAGATGCATTTAGGCAGTTCACTGTTGTGTCAAGGCAGAAGTTCCCCCCACTTATTCCACACCACGTTAAAGTAGATTTAAGAGAGGAAAGGGCACTATGAATCCAGTGTTGTTTTTGGAGGAAAGAGCACATGACATGTTCTGAAGAAAGGGGGAGATTATCCAAATATAAAAAATCTCAGGGGGGTGTAAAAGCCACAGTGTGCAGGATTTAGTGGCCTGCAGTCATACCCCTTCATTCTACCCTGTCTTTTCAACCCTGTAGAAAAAACAACAACAACAGTTTCAGAAACAATGAATTACCCTAAAATGCTATGCACTGCTTCTTTTAGTTCCACTTTATCCTCTGTGTAAATAAATGATATATTCTTAACATACTAATAGACACGGGAATATCTTTGCAGATGACAGCCCTGGAATAGAGGTAAACTGTGTTACATATACGTAGTTGAGCAAATACATGATGTGATTCATCAATTTGAAATGTGGGCGAAGAAATGGGGCTCTAACAGTTCAGTGGAGAAGAAAAAATTGATGCTTTTCACAAGAAAAAATACAGGATGGATACATTTTTAAAAAGTGATACATGTGATGATGTCTAGCAGAAGTGAAATGGGGAGCTTGTGCATTACGTAAATACAGTATACATGTAGCTCTAATCAGATCATGGCTAAACTAGGCAGTGTGTCAATGGATTACTAGCAAAAATGTTTGCAGGGCGAGACAGAATACAAGTGTGTGTTTAACAGCAGTTAGAACATTGCAATAGTGTCCACTTCACACAGTTTTATTACAGGGCTCTCAGCAAACAGTCACATACTGTATCTGGTTATATATCAGTTCAAAAACAATACATGATTTGTTTTTCTAAATGTTTTTTATTTATGGCAGTGTCTGCCTATTGTGTCTTCGCCTCTCTCCACAGGTTCGGTGAAGGGGTCAATGGTAACCTGGTGATTGGGACTCTGGCATGGCCGTCTCCCTGGGTCATTGTGTTTGGCTCCTTCTTTTCCACTTGTGGAGCGGGACTCCAGAGTCTGACTGGAGCTCCACGTCTCCTGCAGGCTATCTCTCGGGACGGCATCATTCCATTTCTTAGAGTGTGTATTAAAGTGTGCATTAAAATGCAATCTTTGACATCAAAGCAGACATTTTGTTTTTCTGTAGCTTGGGTCTGCATAAAACATTTTTAATAAATGGCATAGCACTATCTTTCTAAGAAAGGGCTAATAAATCTGATCTGCAGGTGTTTGGGCACGGCAAGGCCAACGGGGAGCCCACCTGGGCCCTTCTGCTAACAACCAGCATCTGTGAGATCGGCATCCTCATCGCCTCCCTGGATGCAGTCGCGCCTATCCTCTCCATGTAAGTACACACAAGCCCACACACACAACCACACACTCACACACACTGTTTGTTTATTGCTGTGCACACCTGCTGTAGTAAGTATCCCTCATTTCACTCACTTGTCCGTCTAATATTTATGTATATTTATGTTTCTCTCTCTCTTCTTTGCTCCTTTTTTTAAGGTTCTTCTTGATGTGCTACATGTTTGTCAACCTTGCCTGTGCCCTGCAGACTTTGCTAAGGACCCCAAACTGGAGGCCGCGCTTTAAATTCTACCACTGGTGAGTTTGTGTGTCATGAATTATGTCAGAAAACCTTGCTCAAAACAGAACTGCACAGTAGCACCATTACATTTGCATTTCTGCAGTTGACATAAATTCTAGCTGGAAACTCTCAGTAACAGCACGTTGTGAGATAAGGACATTATCCACTGCAGTCTTGTCATACGGAAGAGCAGTCTCAGTCCAGAAGTGCCAAAGCTTTAAACATCTTTAAACATCTCTTTTTACAAGTTGTGGTTATTACTGTGTTCAATGGTAGAATTTTCCCAATAGAGCAAACATGTGCTGTCCTGTCCCCTGCAGGGCTCTGTCTTTCTTGGGTATGAGCTTGTGCCTGTCGCTCATGTTCATCTGTTCCTGGTATTACGCCATGGTCGCCATGGGCATCGCCACCTGCATCTACAAATACATTGAGTTCTGCGGGTAAGAAATCATCAGTGGATTGCTATTATTTTCATTTTCCATGAATGCTACTATAGCAGATATACACCATAATATCATGTGCCAACCTATGAATGTGCTGTGTCACAGAGCGGAGAAGGAGTGGGGTGATGGGATACGTGGCATCTCTCTCAGTGCTGCACGCTTCGCCCTCATGAGGCTGGAGGAAGGACCGCCACACACCAAGAACTGGAGGTCAGTCCACACATCTTCAGTGTTTAAACAGTTTCCCTTTTATCACCTGTTGAAAAAGTCCTACGAAAAGTGTTCTTACATGTTTTGTAGCTGTTTTTTTTACGAATCCCGTTTTGCTTTTAAATTAAAAGTGCAGGACAGTTAATCCTAATAAGCAGATCCATATGGTCCCTCCAAAAAAGGGCATGAGGCTATAGGGCCCTGTGCACACACTTAAATTGAGTAGGGAAGATAAGATAATTACAAAGCCCAAACGGTAATCTAAAGAGGGTGGAGCACTGGACTCCAAATCTTCAATAGTTCTGTAGTTGTAGTATGTTGAAGTGAATGCCAAGTGAGCTTCAAATGTAGTATTACCATCATTATCCTTATGACGAGTAATTTACTTAATGCTTTGTTTTTTCAGGCCTCAGATGCTGGTTCTAGTGAGCGTGGATGCTGAGCAGAACGTAGAGCAGCCTCGTCTGCTCTCTCTGACCAATCAGCTAAAGGCAGGGAAGGGTCTGACTATTGTTGGCACCTCAGTTCAAGGAACCTTCCTCGACAACTTCACTGAGGCCCAGAGGGCAGATCAGGTGCGTCCTCTAATATATAACACATACACTTTGACCTGTGATAAAAAAAAACATTAATATCACTCAATTGCTTTCACTGACACCAACAGCTGTGTTCCCCTCTCTGTGTATTTGTAGTCGCTGCGTAAATTGATGGAGACGGAGAAGGTGAAGGGTTTCTCTCAGGTGGTCATCTCCTCCAATCTGAGAGATGGGACGTCCCACCTGATTCAAGTTGGTGGACTGGGAGGTCTGAAGCACAACTCTGTGATGGTCAGCTGGCCCCGAAACTGGAAACAGCCAGAATGCCACGAGCAGTTCAGGAACTTTATTGGTAAGTCCTAATTCATTGGTCCAATAATTGATGTCTTAAAATGTGATCTGAATCCCATGCATATACACAATGTCTGTAATTTGTCAAGTAAAGATTACTCTGCAAATTAGCTACCATTTTTGCAAAATACAGATGTCATGTGGTAAAAATTTGTGGCGTCTTTGTGATATAAAGACTTATTTTATTTATAAATGTTTCGCCAATCCAAAAGTTATGGAGGCTTCGTTTGCAAATATAAATGAAATGATGGTGGACAACGACCTTATGGATGTTTTTTTTATTCATATGCAATTAATTCATTTTTGTTTTGTTTTCATGAACTTTACCCCTTTCCTGTCTAATGGAGTGACCAAAACAAGGGGAGGTAACCGGTAACCATTATTATTTGTCCCTCTGCAGAGGTGGTTAGAGAGACAACTGTAGCCAGTCTGGCCTTGTTGGTTCCTAAGAATATTGCCAGCTACCCGTCCAATGGAGAGCGCTTCACTGAAGGACACATAGATGTGTGGTGGATTGTCCATGACGGAGGCATGTTGATGCTCCTGCCCTTCCTGCTGAGACAGCATAAGGTGGGAAACTATGAAATATAATTAACCTCTTCTTTATAAGAGGGTTTATTATGATGAAAAAAAACGAAATCATTAACAGAAGTTACAAAGGACACAGTTACACTGATAACATTGTTCATCAGCTGTGGATGTTCCGGTTTTGTCCCATAGGTGTGGAGGAAGTGCAAGATGCGCATTTTCACTGTGGCTCAAATGGATGACAATAGTATTCAGATGAAGAAAGACCTCATCACCTTCCTCTATCACCTGCGCATTGATGCTGTGGTGGAAGTAGTGGAGATGGTGAGAGACTTGTCTGACACATCATCTCAGTTCACACATTAACACTGCTAACAAATTATTTTTGTTCAGAAAACTTTGTTGAAAAAGTGCTTTGTGTTGTGAGATTAACCTGTTTTTTATCCATAGTAGCAAACTAACTTTCAAAATATGGCTACTGCTTGACTAAAACCGTATGATAAATGTATTTTCTGCTTCAAAGCATGACGGTGACATCTCGGCCTACACCTATGAGAAGACATTGGTAATGGAACAACGATCACAGATCCTCAAACAGATGCATTTGACCAAGAATGAGAAGGAGAGAGAGGTAAATCAGATGTTTGTTCTCTACACAATTGGAAACAACCATTAATACAATTATTATGTCATGTATTAATATCAACTTTATCAAATGGAGCACACCTGAAGTTGTATTCAGCATAGGACCCCGAAGAACATGAAATCCATGTTCACACATTCATTATCACTCTGTGGGCTCCAAGTTTCAGAGGAAGGAACATCACTTATGATAAGGAAGAGAGTATTAATTCCAGAGGGAAATACCAATTTGAACCATGTCCATTTTCTTAATTTGTTTGATAACTAAAGATCCAGAGCATTACGGATATATCCCGTGGGTCCATTCGGCGTAAAAACCCATCGGCCTTGCGCTCGCAGCACAGCGTTGATGAAGGAGCCAGCGTTGTAGAACAAACAGAAGACCAGGTAATGGCACTCTTAGGATATATAACTTGTTTATTTACAGTACCTATGTCCTCTTCGTTCTCTGCACAACTTTCTGTGCTCTGGCTTGGGCAGACTCTACTGTTTATTCTATGATTTCCCTACGGCCACTGGCTTTCTCCGACACTCACAGGTGTCTCCTCTCTCTCTTTCACTGTCACGTCACTGTGTTCGTCTCTCAGTCTGTGGCTGTCTCCAACCCAAAACAGGTGCAGCTGATCCACAGTAAGAACACCTCCACACCAGCCAGCCCCACAAGCCCCACGTCTCCCGCTGTGCCTGCAGGGGGCGCCACAACCTGGACGGACAACAAGGGGGCAGAGAAGGGGAAGGGCCCTTCAGAAGGGAACCCAGAGGCGGGCAGAGACCCCTTCAACATGAAGCCGTGAGTGACCTCTCATTTTCACTCCTTTGAGTTGATAGATGTAAATGTATCAAACGTTTCAAACCTATTGAGTTTTTGATACTTATTAAATAATATGCCGTCAGTTTCTATCAGAGTCCTGCACGGGTCTGATTTTCAAGACCCGCTCCCGCCCCGCACCCGCGACGTGCAATACCGAACCCGCCCCGCTACCCGCACATATTGCCAATTAGTTCCGCAACCCGACCCGACCCGTCGGCACAAGATCCGCAACCCGACCCGAACCCGCATATATATGAGCACTGAAAACGTGCAATTATTAACACACGCAGTTGCATATTTGTCTCAAAAAGCGTGGGATGTTGGTTATTTCCTCCATCTAGGATGACACCAAAAGCCTCCCAGACGTTGGATTTCGCTCTTGAGGAAGTGTTATTGAAAATGCTGTATTCTCCGCTAGAGAGCTTCACCTCAGCCATTTCGAATGTGGCGCGCTCAGCAGCAGATTGATGCGCTGCAGAGGTTATGATTATGCGCGGTCCCGCGGGGGAGAGGTCTGAGGATTTTAAACATTAAACTAATTTATTATTATTTTAATATATTTATTATGCAATACCCGCGACCCGACCCGCATCATCTTTGTTTTACCCAGAACCGAACCCGGAAAAAAGCGTTTGAAAAAATACCACCCGCGAATCACCTTTTTTGCGGGTCACCCATCGGGTACCCGACCCGATGCAGGACTCTGGTTTCTATGTGACACTCTGTAATAGAACATGCACAATCTACCAATGGTGCTAACCGTCCTATGCATTTCTCTTCAATGCATTACCAGTCATCATTCATATGTTTGGACATGAGCAACTGCACCTGTAGCAGACTCTAGAAAGATTTTACACATCACTATTTATTTTATTTATTTATTTATTTAATCGTTTATTTGGCAGGGACAATGCACAGTAATGAACACTTAAAACATTCAAATGTGTCAAGCGTAACAGTGCCAGATTTAGCTTTGAGCTAATTTCCATCCGCAGTCCCTCACATAAAACATTTAAGAAAATTACATTTTACAAACATAGCAAAAACAAAATACATGATATGCAAAAAGTGCAAAAGAGCAAGAGCAGCACACACAAGTATTTACCACATGGCAGTACAATATAGCAGCTACGACATATAAAGTGCAAGAGAAGATAAAAGTGCTATATAAAGTGCAAGAGGAGATAAAAGTGCGATATAAAGTGCAAGAGGAGATACCCCTGTATTAAAGTGCATTTAGCGGTGATTGCCAAGGCCGGATTAACCATATGCCCAGGGGCCCTTGAGCAAAGAGGGCCCTCAGTGACAAGATGGGGAAAATTTTTTTTTTATTTTAAGTAGAATTGATTTTCTACATTGTTTTAAATGACACTCACTCTTCGCCATAAATAACACAGCTTTTCTATAGGGGCAAATTAATATATTTTCTAAACCGTCTCTGTACTGTAGGTCTCACTCAAGCCTCCAGGAAGTGCGCCGGACTCTGATGAGAATATTTGTTGTGGCCAAACGGCAGTACTACACCTCCGTTAGGTTGCTGGGCCCGGAAAAACTTTTTCCCATTGATTTACATTGGGAAAAAGTGGTCTGTAAATCGTTGGATAATTTTTGTATGAACGTTTGTATAGCCCTTATTAAAAACATTCGGTCCTCAAGTTGTAAAATGTGCTAATAACATTATTCTGAGAGTTATTTTCCTCAGCATTATGAACGCGCATCTAACCCACGGGACCGCGCTGCCCGGCACGTTCGTAACTAATAAAACTCCTTGTGTACTTGTACAGCCAGCCAGTCATATTTTGGCATTAAGTGGGATGCTGCTCTGAGGTTTTGAGTGATATTATCCATTGTATCTTTGTCTTGTGATTTTTTACTAAAAGGGCAAAAGGCTAGACCTACTTTGGTTGAACTATGTGGCTGAGTCCCTGCTTTTGACAAATGGGTGTGCGATTTGACATGCCAGATTGACTGAAAATTCTAAATATTGGTCATGTTGGTATGATTAGGTAGGCGTGGTGTTACTTGTTGGTACGTGGGTTGGGGGGGGGCCATGAGCGCTCAGTGCCCAGGGGCCCCTGGAGGTACTAATCCGGCCTTGGTGATTGCACGTTTGTTTGTTTCTCAATCATTCTTTAAGTTGACCTTTAAAGCTATTGAGAGTGGGACAATCCCGTATCTCAGTTGGGAGGCTATTCCAGAATGAGCTGCCTTTAACGGAGAGGACATTTTGTCCAAAAGTGGTCCGTCTATGGTGGACTTCACAGTCTCCTCTGGTTTCTGACCTAGTGCAGCGTCCAGTGTGCTTTTTGTGGATGGATTCCCCTAAGGGAGGGGGGCCAGTCCATGTAAACATTTATAAAAAAAACACATACTTTTAAAAGACTTTAAATTGTCAAAACTCAAGAAATTGTGTTTTTCAAGTATGGTATGAATTTGGCTTTCTGTCAAACACCTTGATAGCTCTCTTGTACAGCTGTTCTATGGGTTTCAGGTTTGTGGCGCAAGCAAACGTGGGATAATGTGGGATAGAATCATACAGTGGAGGAATGACTTTGCAGCATTGACAGTTAAGAAAGGTCTGATTTGTTTAAAATGTTGCAAGTTGAATTTAACGGTATTGGATACTTTCTTAATGTTTCTTAAAAGTCAAGTTCGAGTCCAGTATGACTCCAAGATACTTGAAGTGGGAGACTAGTTCTATTTCTGCTCCGTTTAAAAACACATTGGATCCTTCGATTTTGACTGGTCGTTTACTGAACATCATGCATACTGTTTTTTTACATTTAACTGTAAACAAATGTTGTTCAGCCAGTGTTGAACCTTGTCCAATGCATTTGAGAGACAGGATGTGATTATTTCAGTATTTTTCCCCTGTACAAAGATGACCGCGTCATCGGCATACATTTGTACATTCAAATCAGGACATACATTAGGCAAGTCATTAATGTACAGAGAAAACAGTAATGGTCCAAGAATGGAACCTTGTGGAATCCCAACAGGGTTGACAAGGTAGGGGGATTTGGTACCGTTGACCAAAACACACTGTTTTCTGTTCAATAAGTAAGACTCAACCCACTGTATTGAATCTGCCGAAAAATTGAAATACGTCAGCTTTGTAAGGAGCACTTGGTGGTCAACAGTGTCAAAAGCCTTCCTGAGATCAATGAAGACAGCACCTACATATGGGCTTGTGTCCAACATAGATTTAACCTTTTCCACAAAGACACAGTTAGCTGTCTCAGTGGAGTGGTGAGCACAAAAACCAAACTGCATTGGGTGGAGTGGAGCGAAACCTTTGTCTAAATGTTTGGTGATTAGTTTTGACACCCATGTTCAAGTTTAAAGGAGATACATTGTGTTTCTGTGCACGTGACAAACATAAACAACTTAAACCACTATCAAATGTAGCTTCCTGTGCACCTGTGCAAACGTGTCCTTCCGTAAATTCACTGTAAATATGTTCCTCCTTACATGCTGCTGCAGAGAATGGGAGAACTTGTAAGTATTGACATTTTGCAGGGATTCACATTGTGTGAGCTGAGCAGCTGACAGAATGATTTGTAAACCTAATGTGGCCTTTTGTTTCTGCCATCAGGAGCCAGGTTGACGTGAGGCGCATGCACACGGCGATGAGGCTCAATGAGGTCATCATGAAGAAGTCAAAGGAGGCAAAACTCGTCCTGCTCAACATGCCGGGACCACCCAAGAACCGTGTGGGCAATGAAAACTGTATCCTTTATCATCATGCATACAACATACTGTATTACATGTATTTTTGTGAACTTTACTCAATTAATTTCAGTTCAGATCCTTGCAACAAGGCAGCACAAAAACATAAAACCCAACACAATCACTGTAAGATAACTGGAGACATTGACAATTCTGAGACTTAACGTGCAATACAGAATAGAATAAAAGGTTAAGTTAATAAAAGCAAAGAAAAAATGCAACAATAAAAACAGACATTCTGCCATTTATAGTATATTATCACTAGAGGCTGCATTTCGCTTGTGTTTTTCCAGCTAAAAAAGTATTTTGGTGTCAGGTAAGCAAGTTACTTTCCTTAATGTTATTGTTTTTCAGACATGGAGTTCCTCGAGGTGCTCACTGAAGGTCTCAATCGGGTCCTCCTTGTGCGTGGCGGAGGACGGGAGGTTATCACCATCTACTCTTGAAGGACTTAAAGGTCTTTTAAGGGCACGCTCACCTTCGCTGGACTCTGTCCCCTATCTTATTGTTTCAAGAAAATTCTCCCACACCATGATATATCTCCTCATCTCCTCATTGGAGGGATGATCTTGAGAATCAGAATACCTTTATTCGTCCCACAGAGGGGAAAAAGCTTGTTAGTGTACACTAGATTCTTAAAGAATCTAACTGAAAAAATCCTAGCTTAGTGTTGCCAACCGTTTTTGAGTGAAACAAGCTAGCATCACTTGCTTAAAAAGTGGTCTGCAACTGTTTGTACTCTCTTATTAGCTGATAACAGCAGATGAGTTTATAATTAGTTCTGACTCAGGCAAAACAAAAGACTCCAAAAGCTTTATTTGTTCTCAGAAAATGGAAGGTTTTCTTTCCCTTTTTTGACTTCAACTTTCTTTCCTGTTGCTTTCGTTTTGTTTTTTTTGTTATTTATGTATGTATTTATTATGATATATTGGGTATGTATTTATGTATTTATGTCTGTCTTTGTCCTGGTCTGTTTTTGTCTTTCACTCTATGGTTGGAACTGGAAGTATTAATACTAGACACTTTCATATGTATTAATAGGAGTATTAAAATAGCAGAGGATCTAGTTGTTAATATGTAAAAAAATCCCCCAAACCAACTACCTGGATGAAATATACTTACCAATGGTTTGAACTAAACTTTGAGCTAAATGTATGATGTAAACAATTGTTTTGATACCCGTTTTGAAATGTAGTCTAACAGATGAAAAGAAATACCTAAATATTTTAATCTTAACTTTTTAGTTTAGATGTTATGTGAAATCTCAAAAAGATTCAGACCTGGCATCTCTACATATGTTTAAAATATATTATTATAATGTCAAATGTTATGGTGAAGGTTAATGAATCCACTTAAATATATTTATGTCAAACACGTTTAACTGCATAAGTCAGTTTAAGATAGATAAGCATACAGCATAAAAGTTAATCTTAGAGAGTTTATTTTTTTAATTGTATCAGAAATTCTAGAAATAATTTAAACTATATATTGTATTTTATGCATGTGTGGAGTGCACTGCCTTGCTATTTAAGTATTTAGTTAAACTACTTTAAATGCTTATTTGCTGCCATACTATTGCACACTATTGGAGCATCTGAAGTAATAAACTTTGATATTGTCAAGGCAAACGCAGGCATTAAATGCAGACGCCCAAAAATACCTTGGAATGAGGAATCTCAGAAGGGTTAAGTAAAAGTGGTTGAGGATGTTTTATGCACTAAGTTATATTATCCTGCAGAGTACCTCTCAGAGGTTTAGTTTGTGTATGTGTGAGTCTGTGTACAGTGATATTTAGTTTATTTTTGTGTGCAATTTAGTCATTTCTGGACATGCATTAATATGTGTTGTTTTGTCATCGATATTCACACTTGTTAAAATCCACTGATTCTGCAAAAGTTATATACTAGGATATGAACAGTAAGGGTCGGGCGATCTTGCATAAACTTGCACTGGAAAATGCATAGTTTATGACATCAGGAAGGCAACAAGGCATAGGCCTATAGTTTAAATAGTTAATGATGAAAGTTGTTGTCCAAATTTGTATTTACACAGTAGTTTGATTTATTGCCCTCTTCCGTTTGGCCTATAGCGCCATAACGAATTTGACTTAAAAGATTCTAAACAACTTTCTAGAAAATAGCATTCAGTATCTTTCAAAGGAAAATGCAAGACTTCAAATGTTTTTATACATGTATTGTTTGTAACGCTGTAGAAGATTACCCACGCAATCACACACATTGATATGTCCTCTTTTTGGTTAATATCTGTGCAGTCCTCAGTGTTTCCCTTATAACTCTGAAAAGTGTGGGTGCAGAACTATAACAACGGTACTGATTCATAAGAAGATGGTTGAGCTCTCCAGGTGGATCAGTCACCGGTCTGCAGAAGTCCGCATTTTCCAACTTCCTCACACAGAAAGTGTGTTTATGTGTGTGCGCTGTTTGGACCTGATACACTGTGGGTTTGAGTGAGGACAGTGTGTGTAGGCTAACATAACAGCAAGACAGAGTGAAGATGGGATACTTGTACATGTGTGTGATTTTAGGTTTAGAGATAACGTGTAATGTGTGTAAACACAGGTTTTATAGATATCACAAAGGCAGTTTGTATTGTCTTTTAAAATTATAAACGTTGTGTTATGTTCTACCATGTATTATGCAATCATAAACAAGTAATGGTTTGAATAAACCATTTTATATGTCTGCACAAATTGAAGTTAATTAAAATCATTTTAATACAACTGTGACCGTTCAAGTGTCAGTCATCTTCCTCTCTTACAGTGTCTGCTTATACTGTAGATCAATTGTGTTTTATTAGCAATGATTGTTTGTAATTTTGCAAGTGTTGATTGCATGCCTCACCTTTTCAGAACTTGTGATCACACTAGAAAAACAAAGCACTTTCTATGATGTGCAAATGAAACTGTTCTTGCTCAGGCTGCATCAGTTATGTCAGTGATAAGACCACATTCCCGTCCTAAACTCACAGGAAACACGAATACATCAACTCTGTGACACATTTACCATCTTAGTTTAGTATTAGCATGCTTACATTGGATAATGTGTACAAAGAACAGCAGATGAGTATTTAAAGGCGTTTAGTCATTAACTTAAGAGCATGATGCTTTTATTGAGGATTTTTCCAATGCACCTTGAACTTTTCGGACCAGATGAAATCAGTTGCAGAGTTGAGAATAGATAAATTGTTCCAGTGCTACTATTTTAAAGGAGGCTCATAAACAACATGTTCACAGGCATGAAAATATGTTGCTGAGTGTACAGTTGTTGCACAGTCTCTTAACCCATCTCTGCAGCCTGCTCTGATATGCATTCAGAAAGATCATATCAAATTATGACCTGCAACACTGCAGACACATCGTTAACAAGACCAAACCAGTTTTATTTTTGTTTTTCATGTTATATATAATGCTAAGAGGATCACCAGCAACAATAAACTATCACATGTCAGCTTGTGTGCTCGGTCATAAGCTGGCAACAACAATGCGCCCAAGCTGCCCCTCCTTAAGAAAGGAGACAGTGAAAAGAGGTCAATTATTAACTGTGTCAAAGGTTGAATACCTAAGCAAACTATTCCCCAACAATAGGTAGTTATGCCTTTGGCCTGTCTTAGTTAAACACAGTCTGAAAAAAACATTGCCTGCCATTTCCTACAAGAGATTTCAAAATGAGGGCAGAGTCAACCAACCTTCGAATAAGGTTACCTGTATTTGTTTTTGTTGCACAGGTGACCATTGTTGCCTTGTATGCTGCCTTTGTCACCTACGATGACCAAGCGGATGCCAGATTTCAGAATAACAGGACTAAACCCATGGAGAATGCTGTATACAAGGACTATCCTATTTTTACAGACATACAGGTTATAATATTTCTCGGCTTTGGGTGCCTATTTGCATTTTTTCGACTCTATGGCTTTGGTGGGATGGTTTTTAACCTTCTAACTGCTGCTTTTTCAATCCAGTGGGCTATTCTGGTGCAGGGCTACTTCCAGTTCAGCCATGATGGTAAGATCCACCTTGGAGTGATTAACCTCATATATGCAGAGTTTGCCTGTGCAGTGGTGCTAATATCTTTCGGGGCAGTGCTGGGGAAGACGAGCCCGCTGCAGCTGCTGGTCATGGCTCTGCTTGAAGTGCCAGTGTTCGCAGTCACAGAATGGGCTGTGCTCAAGTATCTGAAGATAAATGATTCAGGAGGATCCATTCTTATTCACCTGTTTGCATGTTATTTCGGCCTGGGTGTCACTTTTGTGCTGTACAGGCCTCACCTGAATGAAGGCCATGCAAAGGCGAACACCAGCTACCAGTCTGATATCCTGTCTTTGATCGGGACTTTGTTCCTCTGGGTTTTTTGGCCTTCATTCAACTCATCACTGACCCTGAAAGGAGACGACCAGCATAGAGCCATCCTGCACACCTTCATCGGCCTCAGTGCCTCCACGCTCACAGCCTTTGCTCTCTCTGCCATGCTGAACAAAAATGGTAAGATCACCATATCCGACATTCAGAATGTGACCCTGGCTGGAGGGGTGACAGTGGGGGCGTCTGTGGATATGATGATAACTCCTGCAGCTGCATATGCTCTGGGTATGATGGGCTGCACTGCATGCATGCTGGGCTACAAATACTTGAGCCCCTTCCTGGCACAGCGTTTCAGGATCCAGGATCAGTGTGGAATACATAATCTGCACGGTTTGACAGGACTTATATCCTGTGCTGCAGGGATATGTGCTATTCTGATGGCTGATGAGGAGATGTATGGACCCAGTTTGTATGAGATATTTTCCCACAGAGCACCAGTAGAGGGAGACCCTAAACTGCACAAGCTCCAGATTTTGATCCCTGGTTTACAGCCAGGGTTGGGGAGGACTGCCCGGGAACAGGCTCTCTTCCAGGTCGCAGCTGTGTTCTCCACTATAGGAGTGTCAACGCTGGGAGGCATCCTCACAGGCTTCGTCTTGAAGCTGCCGTACCTCGCACCACCATCCGATGTCTTCTGTTTTGACGATCAGCTGTTTTTTGAAGTTCCTCCAGACTATGATTCACCACTAAAACTCAACAACATAGATGATTCTGCTGCCTGACATGGATCTGACATGTATAGTATGGGCAGGGTCGGCTTCATGGGGGGTCATTCGCGGGCCATGCCCCCTCAAACGAGTCACTGTGCCCCCCCAACGCAGGGCAGGCAAGCCCTGCCACTTTGCCGTTTTTTTGTTTTGTTATCATACAATAAGTGAAAACGTTTCCACAAAATGTTTTTTTGTGTGAAATAAATCAGAAATAAAGAATACAAATAAAAAACACAGCCTGAGGTGTGCTCACTGCTGCTCGTTGATTGGTGTGTTGCTTGACCAATGACCCCCGGGCCCCGACCTTTGTTTTGTTGTCATTACGTGGCTGACTCTTTAGTTGTAAGCCCAGTGGCAATCTGTTCATCTGTTATACTGATTATAGAGTAAAGCCATCGAAAATAATATGATACAGACAGTACAAGTATTTCTGGGTCTCTGTGTTTCATTCAAGCTCGGCTATGTAGCCTATGTGTGGCACGAGCGCATTTAGCAGAGCTATGCTAACGAATATAAAGAGCTGTTCATTTTCTACAACAAGTGTGGAGGAGAGTCCTCTCCTGTCAGACTGAGAGGCTCAGATACCTACAGCCAGTGGCGGCGCCAGGGTATGGCTAGGTAGGCTACAGCTATACCAAGAAATGGCTTAGCCCCACCATGAAAAATGATTTTAAAGTAAGCAAAAATAAAGTCCGCCAACTCGCGCGGAGTAAATTGCACAGACAGCAGTTAGTAAGATTGATTTCAGTAGCCACTTGTCTGGAAATACCGAAGACTAGAAACGGTTTTGAAAACTTTTGTCACGTAGTGATCGTCTTCTCAATAGAACATCTTTGATAATATCTTCTGGCCAATCAGAATCATGATAACGGCGTAGTGTTGTTGCAGGAAGTCCCGACGGAGAATACTTTTGCTGTAGTACATCTCTGTCTATATACATCGATACAACATTACGATAAGACCCCACGGTTTGATGATTGATAGGTGTGTGGGCTGTCTTTCATTTTGACACACAGAACAATGGGGGCTATCCACCCTTATCCACAATGTAAAGTAATTCACACAGCCTCTTCCCTCTTCTCTCTGTGCAGCAGCAGGTTCAGCTTTCAGAACAAAGTAACAAAAAACTAAAATGGCATTCATTTTTTTAAATATGTCGTGTAGTAATAGATTTATTTATTTTTCTTCTCAAGAGAGTACCAGAATGTGTATTTTATGTTAGCATTTAGTATGTCTGGGGGACAATCCCCCCCCCGACCCCCCTGCAGGGGATGGGTTTTCAGCATGTCAACTCTTTCACTTGTGGGGAAATTGCAGGATTGGCTCCAGGTCGCCCTTTTTATTTACTACAGTTCAATTTGGATTGAGACAGGGAAATAATCTAAACCTCACGCGTGGCGTATCACTGTCAAGAGGAGCGTGTATGTAATTGCATTGCAAATACTGATTTGAGCCCCACCACTATATGGGTTAGCCCTACCATAGATTACCCAACAAAAATACTCTGGAGCCGCCACTGCCTACAGCTCAGTGAGGTAAGGTCGGGACTCTGTCAGTTTTTAGATAATCTCAGTGGGTCTCAAACGGTTTGGTCACCATTTATGTAAAGAAGTATTTCAGATGAACACCTTGATACGATCATTGTAGTTATTAAAAAATAAGAGAATAAATGAAAAATAGGTATGAAATACTATAGGACATTAACAAGAATACAGTTTAAAGGGGAGTGATTTGTAAAATAAAGAAAAAGTAAATCTGTTTACAGTTCTGTTTCATATGGGTGTTGACAGATGTATCCATAGATCTCTTAATTTTGCTCTCGAAGTGCACCAGATTGATTCGTTTAACTTCAATATTTTAAAAGAAATCTTCCCCTTGATGTTAGGTCCATCACCCACCTAAAACATGTTCACATGGATAGGATACTAAATACATTTGCACACTTTTTATATGGTGGCCTATGTCCATATGTTTCTGTTTTGGTGGTCGTGCCTCAACCGTGCATGTATGCACAAGTCATAGGTGCGCTATAAAATAGCACTACACCCCTGCAATGTGTGTGAAAACAAGAGACTTTACAGCATGTTTTGAAATTGAAGTTGCGTTGGTGTTTGTGTGTTGGTTGTTGACGGCAGTGTGTGCCCCCCCCCGTGGTAAATGATTGCCCCCCCCATTCCATTTGTTCTAGATCCGACCCTGAGTGACTTATATCCTGTGCTGCAGGGGTATGTGCTATTCCAACCCAGTCTCATGGCATTTCGTGTTCACCAACACGATTTTTAATCTATTGATTCGTGTTCACCAACACGATTTCCCCCTTTTTTTCGTGTTGCACAGCACGATTTTAAAAGCAATGTATTTCTACTGGTAATGTGTTTCGTGCCTGCAGCACGTCTTTTTCCTATAGGCCCTGACTGCAGCACGCGGAATGGGGCGTGGTCAGATGTGGGCGGGGCTGGACGTCCGATAGTGGGGTGTATGGATATCCTAATGAGACAAACAGCATCATCTGCTGGACAACTACAAGAAGTACAAATACAAATCTGCACTCGACTAAATATAATTTTAAAACTAAATATAAAAACTTCATACTAATTAAATGCATGAATG